TCAAAGTCAAAACTTTTTAGTGCCAAAATATCTCCATTTTCAGAGTTAATGTTAAGAAATGATGTGATTTTTTTGTTTTCATTACCATTTCTCAAAATGTTGTATAATATGAGTGCATTATCACCCTCATCATAATCATAAGCACTCACTGAAAATAAAGAGGCTCCTGCAACATTGTTTTCAATAACATAAAAAGTATACGGATTTGTTGAAAACTCTGGACTGTTATCATTCACATCTGATACAGTGACACTAATTGTCCTATAAGATGACAACGTTTTTTCACCAGCATCTTTACAAGTTATGGTTACATCATACTTGGACTGATGCTCTCTATCCAGCAGAGATTTGGTGACTATAGAGTACATATTGTCTTGTAAAGATGGTGTTAATGTAAAAAGTACGTCCTCACTGATATGACAGATTACCTTTCCATTTAGACCTGAATCATTATCAGTCACACTTATCAACGCTACTGTCGTTCCAGGTTTGGAATCCTCAGGAATTGCACTTGAAAAGGATGTCACCTCAATCTCAGGTGCGTTGTCATTCAGGTCCACAATAGTAATTACAACACTTTTTTCTGTTGCTAGTGGGACTGGTCCTTTATCAGATGCTTTAATGTTAATTTCATACTTGTCTTTTGCTTCAAAATCTATCAGTCCTTTAACAATGATTTCACCAGTATTAGCGTCCACTTCAAAAAGTTTACGTAATTTATTGTTTACATTATTGCTGAATGAATAGACCACCTCCCCATTTAAGCCATCATCTAAATCAGTGGCGTTTACTTGCATGATAGTTGTGCCAATGGGTGAATTTTCTTTCAGCACGGCAGCATATGAGTCCCTAGCGAAAACCGGCATATTGTCATTTACATCCAAAACATGAACGATGATTCTCAGAGTTCCTGACTTAGCAGGCTTTCCTCCATCAACGGCTGTCAGCAGTAACCTGTGACTTCTTGCGGTTTCTTTATCCAGCGGTTTATGCAAATACAAAACAGGAATTTTACCATCCTCTCCATCTTTAACCTCCAGGCGAAAATGGTCATTTTGACTGAGCTTATACAGTTGGATCGAATACATGTCACTGTCTGGATCATGGGCACCTTGTAGTTGAAATCGCGCCCCAGGTAAAGCAGACTCTGATATCTCTAAATGCGTCTCGTTTTCGGAGAAGGTGGGGGAGTGGTCGTTTACGTCTAAAACCTCAATTGAGACGTAATGCACCTCTAACGGATTCTCCAACACAGTCTTTATGTTGATAATGCAGGTGCTGATCCGTTGGCATACTTCTTCTCTGTCAATTTTTCGGTTTAAATGTAAGATGCCGTTATTGTTGAGTTGGAACAAGGGTTCGGTCGATCCGGAAACGATGCGAAATCCTCTGGCATTCAGAGCACTGGTATCCAGCCCCAAATCTTTAGCGATATTCCCAACAACAGCACCCACCGTAAGCTCCTCAGGAATCGAGTATCGTAGCTGTGCTGAAGTAATATTAAAAGTAAGAATCAAACAAAGAATGAGAACGGCCAGGCGCCCCAACCACGCTTTGTATCCTCCTCGTGCCATATTGGATTAAAAAAAAAAAAAGGTTAGAAATAAAAATGTGATTCTACACAGGAACACACATTTTGAACAAAAAAGGTTGCCAATATTCGACAATTGTTGGTGAACGACTCAAATATGTGAAGCCGTTGCCCTGAAGCACAAGTGCACCCTGACGCGAAACAGCACTGAACTACTGACGTAGAGGATGTTCAACCGAGAGTCGTTCACGTTCACAAGCAGTGACACCATGCGAGCTGACGTGTCAATGCAAACACACTTTAAATATAAAAAATATTTTTATCTGACGTCCGATGCGGTTAAACATGTATATTGCCTGCTGAGCATGAGATCATAAAATAAAAATAAAAGTGCATTACATACCATTTTAAACCTAATGGAATGGAGAGGCAATATACCATGATTCCATGTGATCACGGTGAATACCATTTAGTTCATAGTCGTAAACATAAAAGTGGGAATTACCTGCTTTTAACAAAGTAGTGGTTTGACTTTTTTTGACAATCTCGTATCTGGACATCATAGCAGAAAATCTCAGCACCATGGACAGCGAATGACGCCACTTATAATTGCGTTAAACCTCATGAAGGATTTTAGATTACATCACTGTAGCCCAAAAAGTTAATCAATGACTTGATGGATAAAGTGAAAGTGCGAAAGCAATTTTATGAATCTAAGTATGCTGTCATACTGGTATGGGTTTGAGTATAGTTGAGTAGTGAACAGGAAGGAGACCACGGAATAACAAAAGGATGAGTGAAGCATATATGCTAATATATATTAACAGCTGTTCTTCAACATACAACTATTCTCAAAAGGACATACAGTTCGATCAAAATTACAGCTGGGTGAAAGTCAAGCATCCTGAACCACGATGCCAAACAAACAATGCGCATACTTGATTGACTGATCTAATTAATTAACGGGCATATAAGTAACACTTCTTGCGGAAACAAGCCAGGGTTTTCACCAAAAATGTCTTACCTCTCCAGAAGTATGTCTCCTGTCAGGGAGCACTAGAGTGTTCGCGTGGCTGCCCGGGACTAT